GGAATACCAAAACCTCATTTTCTACCCACGCCTCTATAAGTTTTATGAAGCTTCTCTATCACTTCTTATCTGCATAGAAAAAAAAAAAAAAAAAAAAAGAACCGTTTAAATGTTTGTGAATAATTGAGCTCCGTAATAAGCCATGAAATTGGATAAGTGAAATTCTACCGATTTTATAAAATAAATTAACAATGAAAGAGGAAAGATTTATTCCAGATAGTTTATGCTATTTCCCAACAATTTTCTACGCCAGACTATCTGAAGCATGATACCGAAACTAGCTGAGAAAACTACTCCAGTTGCCCATATTCTGATCATGGCAATGCATTTCGTTACTACTTTTCAGTCTTTTCAAAGAATGTTCTATGCTTACAACTTCTTGATTTTACACCTTTGTAACTTTCGCGAGCATTTCTACGAAAATCCCTTTCTTACAATTAACCTTAATTTGAAAGAAAGAATTTTGAAATCTAACAGTCAGGATTTATTTCTTACTACTATACACAAATTATTTCATTTCTGTTTACATATACTTTCAGTAGTAGGATTAATCTCATGAGTACGCATTGGGCATTACGTAATCCCATTTAACAGAAACTTAAATTCTATTACTTCCTAATAAATAGTCACCAAAGCTCTGGACTTATTATAGTTAAAAGCATAACGAACAAGTTTAGAATTTGAAGTTTATAGCTTAAAATAAATTTACTTTCGCATCTATTCACACCTGTTTCATGAAATACAAGGAACTGGCAACCAGTGCGTTATTATAATTTTACCTTAAGAAGAATTAATAAATTAATTCAAGCAAAGAATGATTTCGGGCCGTTTAATTTATGTTTAAAATGTAAAGAGTATTCTTCCATATATTCGATCTGATAGACTTTTTTCCGAGATTATGAGTCTGCATCGTAATTTCCATGATAAGAAATTTCGTAAAATTTCCAGCTGTATTGATTTCCATTTCAATTCCACTGCTTTCCAGGAAACATCAACCGAGGTATATTTGCCATTAGAAAGAGCTCTTTTTAAATGATAAACCGCACAATAGTCGATAAGTGAAAAGGGGACTTCGCAGGAATACATTGAAAACGTATACATGCAATATTGTCTTCTGTTGCTCAACATTGTTGGTCCGAAAATCACACTTTCAATTTTTCTGCTGCCAAAATTATTCAAAAAACATCTTCATGGAGACCTGGATTTTCGAGAGGATTCACATTCTAAAAATCTTTTGTTCTAGTTAACGATCCTAATTCCATCCAAATTTGCCTTCGGTTAGAGAATTTGTTTTATTCTGGTTCGCCAACGATGGCGCCACTTTTGCTTGCCAGGCTTCTTATTATCTAATCATTATTTCCTATCTTGTTCATTGCGTTTGATCTGAGATTGGTTCGTAAAACCATCGAAACTCCTTTGAAATTTGTAGGTTACGCTGATTTTTGTTGTCTGAATGTATGTAATATTGTTATGGTCTTTTTCGAAGTATGATTTATTGCTTGTCTTATGACTTTCACCCTTCAAAAATCTTGCGATAAAGCAATAAATTTCATATATAACACTCTAAATTCCTCAGGGTGGGATTTGAAGCGTGACAGCAAGTTTCGCTCCGTTTCGTGTTAAACAAGGCAAGTTTACTGTTTTGGTAACAGACATGTTTTTCCACTTGCAATCATGACCTTGGAGAAGGGACTGAGTTAAGGGGCAGGACGACTTCCGGTCGTGCCCCTACCCTCGCAGAGTGACCATTCAGTTTTGCTGAGACGCTATTTCAAAGAATCTGGACAGTTGTCTACATCGTAACAATGAACGCAGCTCCTCTGCCAAAAGTAAGTTTAGTTTTAAAATATATATACAATTATTTCTTAATAGAACTATCTTACTTATCATAAATTATAGTCTTATATTTTAGATTTATGTGTAAAAATTGAAGGATGTAATGAAAAGGAGTTTTAGTTGGCTCTTTTTTTAGGTAAATTTGCTTTAAGAGTGTAATGCTGTAACTTCGTTTTATTTATTACGTACTGTTAACACAATAAAAGCTATATATATGGATGGTACTTTTTGTAAACACTTCTTAAACAATTTACACAACACTATCGACTTTAATTATTCAAATTCAGTTTCGCATGCATTCCTAATTCGAGTACGAAGAACAGCGGTGGGGAAAAAAAAATCCATACTATAGATTTTTTATAACACAAATTATTTGTTAGAATTGCAAGAAATAAAAACCGTATACTTTACTGAATTCTTGTTAAAGTCATATCGTTTTCAGCTTATAGCAGTTTTTCATTGATTTTTAACTTCTTTTTTTTATAAATTCTGCTTATAGTTTGTAAAAATAAAATTCACTTACTGTTGCAAATCTGAATTTTTACAAAGTATAACACTAGCACTACCTGTGTCATATCAGCATTCTAACACTTATATTTTTGCAAATGTATTATTATTCTCGATAGTGTAGGTGTAGCTCATATGGTCTCCTCGGTTTCTTTCACTGATGTTCAAAATTTATTTGCATGTGTCATTTTTTCTCAATTTTATTATTTTTGTCTGATTTCCATACTATGTTTTCTAAAAGTGATTTGAAAGTGTTTGCAAAGAAAATTTAGAAAACTGCATACTCGAGTTCTTGTTTCGGCATGAAATGAAATACAACGGTTAAGATACAATCAAAGATATTTTAGAATTCTGATTAAAGAATGTGTTCTTCTAAGGTAATGGGTTGCCAAAAAGTTTCTTAATGTTACAGTTTTGGGGCCAATTTTGAGAAAATGGGGAAAGGCTAAATTGATTTCAGTTACTAACATTTATTTTATGTAATTTACTCTTATGTAATTTTTACTTACGTATGCTTAATATTATGTTTTTTTAATGTTCATTTAAATTTATATGCGCTAAATATAATGTTTCACAGGCTAATTTTTATTTATAAATGCTTAATATCATGCTTTTTCTCCGAGCATTAATGCACATCCCCTAAATATTGACCACCAGCGGACGAACAGTAAAGTCGCTGTAATCTGGTAGTTTGGTCCTGGGTTCGAATCACGTGAAGGGACTAGCTGCATGGGCGTTTTCATTGTTTCCCCATGTGCAACATGTATACGAACCAATTTCCTTAGAAAGACCTCCACGAAGCATCCTTCCCCTTACACAGATAGCCTTGAGGCTTTGCAATAAGCACACACACATTCTAATATCATACTTCTTCTCCTAATATACATTTATATGCAATAAATATTATGCGTTTTTGCCTGCTATAAGCTTAATAATTTTCTTTCTACTTAACATTACTGTTGAAAACTATTCCCGATTAGCCACGAACCCACCAGCGGCCGCGCGGTAAAATCACTGTAGTTCGGTGAAATCCTGTGAGGTTTAAATCTCGGGAACAGGTTGGTTGGAAATTTAAAAAATTTCATCCCTTTTTTTTTTTTTTTTTTTTTTTTAATGAAACAAATCTTAAACAGCTAAGGTTGCTCATTTAAAACTTTATTACTTAAAGTTAAGAAAGGTAGTTTATAGATTTCTTTAAAGACTAAGGGTAGGAACTTATTTAAACTAGAAACCATATTAAGAGAATGTTTATCTTATCAAATGCATTACAAGCACATATAATTTTCATTATACGTACTTTTAATGTCATAATTTGTAAATGGACATAATGAATCGATAAAATAATTATTATCAATTGAGCGCACAGCGAAAGTAACAAAAATTATTTATTGATGCTGGTAATTAACCAAATTAATAAAAAATACCTTGTTAATTTACTAGACACGTTTTTGGGAATATAATCTGTCTTAATACTTTTAAATATACATATAAATATCTAATTTCCGCTCTTAAGAAAATTTAGTTATGACTCAAAATTTTGAAGTTCCATTTAACATATCATTTGATTTATCTGTGATTTTGTAATGTAAATAAATCGTAATATTTATGAGAATAAATTAATATCATATATAACCACTGTTAAATCTATTGAAATTGTTTATTACACAGAATTAATTTCAAGTTTTTAATATTTAAAGATAAGAATTAGGTAAAATTTTATATAAATGAAACAGTTATTCAATAATTTTTTAAAGATTTCTTTCCTGTTTTTTCTAAGTAATTTTGTCCCCTTATAGTTTTGAATTTGCTGTTCTTTCACCTTGTCTGTCATTCTGCGCTATATTGCACTGATTGATATTTAGTTGTCATTAAAATTTAGGAAGAATGTTATACTATATATTTCTTACAGAAGAAGGCGTCACTGGGTTGACGTTTCCTGATATCACAGAAGATGACTTGAAAGAAATGAACATAAAATTAGGGCCCAGAAAGCATATTATGCAAATTGTGAATAGAATAAGGGTAACAATATATTTTCAATAATGGAATAACAGTGAAGAATAATTTTATATTATTATCTGAAAAGTCATTTTCTTTTTAGTGCCCATCAGTTCAAGCAGTTGCTTCAATACCATCAGATGAAAAATGCACTGAAAAGGTCTGTGAAGGTGCAAGTGCCATTTCAACACAGAATATACAAAGAAAAGAGGAGTCTTTAGACATATCCAAAATACATAACCAGTGTATTTCAAACAAGGTAATAAAATTTGTCTTTTCAGTTTTAATTATGTAAAAGAACACGTTGTGATTTATTAGACGGTAATTACAATTTTCTCAATTTTCTCAGGATTCTTTTGATATCAGAAAGTGGGTCAGCAGTCACCCACAAGGCAAACAGCTCTGTGACAACCTGGATAGGGGTTCCTACAAGACTGAAGACAGGCAGCTGCTAGTTAGGATAGTCTGTTTAAAATTAGTAAATTTATGTGGAACTGTGTAAGTTTTTTTTAGTGAACTTGAATATATTTTCATTGATTTAAGTCTAGAAGGTATAGATACGTTCTGAAAATTAAGAAAATATTTTATTTTATATGAATTTCAAGAATTTTCCATTAAATTATTTTTTTTTTTAGCTACCCATCCTCAGAATGGAAGGAAACGTACTGCAGAGGCATTAGTAGATGCATTTCCATTGTTAAAATCAAAAAGATTCCCACATGGGCATGTAAGTGTTCTTTAATTTTCAAAAAATTACTTTAAAACATGTTATCTAGTTATGTGATGTGTATTAATTTATGTGCAGGAAAGCTTCTATGATAAGACCACAGGAATAAGCTTTATAGAATAGGCCTGAAAACGCTTAGGAAGTCCATCAAAGAAAAAAAAGGATTAGCCAAAACTTCAAAAATCTGCAGAATAGAACCATCTCTTGAAACAGAACGTTTGACTAAAGAGGATTTAGAAGAAAAGGTTTTTTTTCAGCTTTCGTAAAATTCATATTCATAACATTTTAAAATATTTCTATGTTATAAATATTTCATCTATACTTAAAGAAAATGTTTGAAAATTAGTGCATATAAATTTTTTGTTATAGATAATGTGGATGAAATTTAAAAATCCCATAGAACCCAATAGACAGGCGATTTCAGATATATTGTCTGAAACAATGGCTGACAGACAAACTGAAATAAGAGATTCAGGCATGACCATAACAGATGTTTTAGAGAGATATCCCAGGCTACAAGATTATAGAGGAGATATGGTAAGAAATTTAGCTAATTAATTTTCAGTTAGTAATTGCACTTTAAATTTACATATACGCATAGTGTATATTGGTGATCTTTAAAATGTGTCGAGCCAGGAAATTAAAAATCAAAGTTTCAGCATAATCAATTCAAAGAATTTCAGTTCAAAATCATTTTTCAGCATTATGTTAAAACACATAAGTTCTGTAATAATTTTCATTCAGGAGATGCTTGGTTTAAGAAACTGAACCATTAACCACATGCATTCAGTTTTTAAAATCAACATTTTTATGAATATGTACTAGATAACCTATTTTGATTTTTGTATAAACTTACTGGAAATTATGTTTGTGTTTGCAGATTGATGCAGAATTTTTACGCATGCATCCCAATTCAGACACTTTCTTGGGAAAGTTTTCATCTTTTTATGTCCCAAGAATTTGAGATATGCTGAATCAAAACGGCCTGATCTTCTGGTACCAAGTATTGCTGATTTCAGTGGTAAAGATCTTTAAAAATTTAACTAGGATTATAAATCATATAATACTTTAAAACTTTTTTACGTACTGTTTTAATTACCTAAAGTAATTTTTTTATCTATTACTTGCATTGGTCATTCTTAAATGGCTTATAAAGTTTTTCTTCTGGCTTGTAAAAGTAAGCTGTAAATCCATGTACCTCTAGTACCAAAGGCCTTTTTTAATGATATTTTGTAATCCTTATGTAATAAAAGTCTGTGTATTTTTTTCATATATATAGATGATCTAAAAGCATTAGTTTTGCTCCCAGAAACTTTTGCCCAGCCCAAATTATGGTAAAGGAGAGGGAAAAAAAAGGTAAAAAAAAAAAGGTCTCATTCATTATTAATGAGTAATACTTGGCATAAGTCTATGCATAAAAAAATAATTTCATATGCTTAGCTAAAATTCTTTTAATAGGATAATATTTTTAGTTTGTAGTGTATGTGTATGCAAAATAAGCTATTGATACTATATGTAAGTGAATTGAGCTGCATATCCTTTGAACTTGCTACATTTTCTTCTTGAAAGGTTCAGTGTGATATTTATGTAGCTTCAATTAATAATTACATTCACATGCAATTGTTATCCAGTTTATGTCTTTATATATATATACTTTTATTTTTATTTCTGTAGAGTAAAGGCAAAACAAGTATTTTGGCATCAGGCTGTTATTTACAAAAAAAAAAAAAAAAAAACATTCCGAATTCTGCACTTCTAATATTTGCTAATGTAAGTATTATGAGTTTTGTATGTTTTGCACTTTCATTTTAAGAGGGCAGATCATATTTAAACGAGCCATTTTACAACAGTGAATGTATTGGCCTCACGTGGCTAAAATTCATGTTCTCAAGCTGCTTTTCAACTGTTGTACCCACAGATGATGCATCGTCATTTAGCTAATTTTTGTAGAATTGAAATGGCATGATTTGAATGTCACCTACATACTAGCAAATATTTCGAGAGAATAAGAAGGTTTGTATTATGTATTGTGATGTCTTGTATCATCTAAAGCATGACAGTAATCATTTCTATGCATGTATCATAGTGAACATATTTTTTTTTACTTGTATAGTGTTGGAGAAATTGCTTGAATTTCAAAAAGTCATTCCAGTCAGACTAGGGCAATTATGAAATCAAGAACAAGCATCTAGTTTATATGAAGAAATGATATTTGGTTTCATAAGAATAAGCCAGAACTAATTCTCCATATTCTTTTGTTCTTTTACATTATTTATTACACTTTCATGAAGAAGCAATGCACAAATAGCAGTATGCATTACTATCCTATTCTATATTTGAATCAATATAATACTTAAATATTCCTATATGTTTTGATACTGCACTTTTACAGAAACTAAAAGCAAAGGCCTTATGTGCATAAAATTACTTGAGTAGTTTTTGTATGAAGAAAAAATTTTCTGGCAATATTTTTTAATTGGAAAGATAAATAATATGGATAATTTATTGACTTGCCCTCATAGGTATGGATGTATTCTTAATGAAGAAATTTATTTTCAGGGAAAGAAGACATGGAGTCTCTTGAACCAGGGCAGAATAAGCAACGATTCTAGTGTGCATTCCAAATTCATTTACATTAAAGCAGATAAACAAGGTTAATAGCAGGTCCAAATCACGCCATGAAGGCATTCGACATTTTATTTAAAATCCCATTTCGTATTTAGTGTGCAATATGCACATGTATTAACAAATTTTACAATTTACGGGAAAGTTTTATATAAGCACTCCTAGAGCATGTGGGATTGTTAAATACATGTTTTAGCAACATAGCTTGAGTAAAAATTATTGCATTTTTAATATTTTATATATTAGTATTATTGAGTAAAAATTTATGTATGTATAATATGTTCTAATAAAGAGTTTTTCATGTATGCTTGTTTTCATTTATTTTAAATTACTTTGTTCATGGAATATTATAATTCTGCAGATTAATGGATTTCTACTCATATTTAACCATCAATAAAGATATTAATTTTCAGCAGAATATGAAACATGAATGTTTATCTTACACATGTGAGCTAATCCATATTATTTCACTTTTACTTATTCTTTCCACATGAGACTTCGAATTGGAATTAACATATATAAAAATAAGTTTAGTCTAAAAGTATATGTAAAACAATTATTCCCTATATGATTAATGTATAGGAATTTGATGCATATAACTTCTCAAAAGTAAAAAGTGTTGTAAGCTAATGAAGATAAGCTTTATTCATAATTTGGGTAATTAATTTTAAGTTCTTAATGATTTTGTAATAAGAAATAGAAACAATTCTTTTGCAGTATATGAAGTTAAAAACAATAGCATGAGAGTATTTTATGGTTACTAATTTCTGAATCTCATACATTGCAAATAAAGCTGAATAATTTAGGGAAATTAAATTCACATTTTTTTCTATTTCAATGTATATTAAAATTTATTATCGATATTTTTATGCATATTATGCTCAAGTCGACAAAGTACTAGTAATATCAATTCAACAAATTGTATTATATATTCACTTATAAGTAGCATTTAAAGAAGTTGAATCTATCAGAATATAATACAGGTTTACTGAGACATATATACATGATCAGCTGTTTTAACACATTCAAATTTTCATTTAAAATTTTTCAAGAATATTTTGATAAATTACATTTCCAAATATTGCGATTATTTAATTTAAAATTTAGCTTACAATTTACATGATTATGTGTTCTAATCTTGTGAATAAACATAATTTGTTTTTTAAAATTCAAAATATGTATACAAATTTAGAATATATCGTTACATATATGATTCATCTAAAATAATTTTTTGAATTTCTTTTATGAAACTAAGCATTTTTTGATTTCTCAAACCAAATTTTGAAATTTCTGAAATATTTATTCAAAGATTTAAGTACCTGAAAAACCTTTTTATCAAATACCAAGCTTTAAGTGCGAAGATATTGCTATTCCAGTTTTTAAGTTGCTTTGATTTTAATATTGCTTTTTTATTGCTTAGTATACATAAAGGCAAGAACCATTTCTGTAAAATAAATATATTCTGTGAATTTAAGTAATTTCATATCAGAAGTACTGTGAGAAGGTGATAGGTTATTTCAGAATTTAAATATTGTAACATGACACCGAATTTCCAATATTTTATGTGGATGTAATATTTTGATATATATATATTTCGCTTAGATTTGGAAAGAAAAACTATATGTCCAAATAAAGAAGATATGATTATCCTAAAACAATGATTTTTTTTTTCAGTGATGGTCTACTTGATATAATCGTCTTCATGACCATAAATGTTTTTGTAAGTACATAGGTAGCAAATCTAAAACAGCAGATATTTAAAGTCACAATATAGCATGTTAAAAGTAGTGTGTAAAACATTTTTCAAGATAATATAACCAAGAAATCTAAAACTTTGCTCAGCCATAAATTTACATAGCAAATACCAATTTTCAGTTTGCCAATAAAAACAAATGTAAAAATTATATAAAAATCGCACCATCAAGGAGTGAGCAGACTATTATGATCCTTGTAATGTGTGTGGTTTCCCGGAATATCGGGCGGTATCTCGCTATCGGCAAGGGAACGAAAGAAAGAGTCACTCCTTTTTTTTGTGGAGCAGGAACTTTTTATTAGAGTGAAACGTCTCTTTTGAGGTTGGTGCCATTTTGGCGTAGAGGAGGTGAGATGTCACTTTTGGAGTCGGATACAACTATTCGAATTTAGAGGTAAGGGACTCTTCGATAATGACAAACCCGTATTGAAAACTTTTATCCATGACAAACAGGTTTGTGTATATTCCTCTTCGTTTTCAAATAATATACTTTTTTCTGTCATTAGACAAACCCAGCGTCATCAGGTCCAATGATTTCATTTTTTTTTTTTTTTTTTTTTTTTTTTTTTTTGTGCTAAATAGTTTTCCTACTAAATAAAAAATAATAATACTCCATAAATGGTTCTTCACTGAACCAAGCTGGTGAACATTACGTTTTTAGCTTTTTTAAGTTGCTAATCCGGATTTATTATTAGTTTTTGTTGCTAGAGATGCATTTAAAGACTTTGCAATTTATTACTGTGTCGCCGGATTTTCTCTTGCTGCCAACGGTTTACCTTTAAAAACAATTAGGAACAACGCGTACCTTTTTTGGATATCCTTTGGGAGACTTCTTTTCATGTAGAAGTAATAATGAATGACGGTTTTTCCCTTTCAGATTAATAAGTTCTATTTTACACTTCGAAATCTAAAATATTATTTTTAAATATGGAATAGTTTTGGAAAGTGCAAAAACCTATCTATTCCAGAGTTATATGGACATTTTGAATAAGAAGCACTTTAACATAGCAGACATTTGAAATAAAGGGCCTGCCAGAAATTTTATTCCAAGTATTTGCTTTAATTCTGTATGAAATCATTCTAAAAGAGTGTAAACACTGTCTATGTTTAAAAAAAATGGAAAAGAACTTAATTACATAATACACACTTATTTCAACTATTTAAGTAGAGAAATTAGGAAGCTTAAAAAATATTACAAACACAAAGTTATGTTTTACTTTTAATATATTTCCAAACATCACTGTAAAATTTTTTACGCGTTTAGAGTAAATTGAGAAACATAACATTTTCTCGAAGAATCATTAAGATGTAAATGGATAAAGTAATTAAAATCTACCTAGTAAATGGATAAAGTAATTAAAAAAATTTAACCCAAGTTAATTGGATAAAGTAATTAAAAAAATTTTACCCAAGTTAATTGGATAGATAATATCAGTTTTGTGTTTCTCATATTAGCAGATACAGGATCTCTGTTATTTTAAAATGTAAGATTCGAAAAGGTAAGTTTTATTTATTGGGGATTATGTGTTTAAGTTAATAAACGTACTAATGAGGATGCGAACATTACTATTTAGTTACTTATTC